AACACTCGGCAGGCTTAATTTTAAACGTTCTTGTGTCCTTTATGTCTTTTTGACTCGTACATGACAAGCAGCCACATTTCATAACAAACGAGCACCCATAGAATTATGCAGAAATGGTATAAATGTATCTTATTACCACTAGAGGGCAGCACATCTCCAGACTCAATGATAAGTGAAGTTTGCGTTTCTTGGGGGGTAAAGGGAACTGATCAGCTTTTACCAGAGGCAACTCTACTGTTCTAATTGGACTTGTTGTGCACTCTGCCTTCTCTTTCTGCTTAGGAGAGTCCCAACACGATAGAAATTGATTTATAAGAGGGTTAAGAAGGGATAGGTCATTGATTGCAGGATAAATACAGATGTGGAAAGATAAAGAAATGACCGGAATGGAAGGGAGAGAACCACTGGGCATGAAATCAGATCTGTTGCATAATCATGGCTCGCAGGCCTTCCCAGCATTCACTGGGCTTTGTCGGCTCTTGTATCACATGACCGAATCAAACTGCTGCAGTATTAAACCAGCAGCACCAGTCTACCACCAGCCCGAGGCAGGTGGAGCAATGGGTTTGTTCTTCTCTGTGTCGGTTCCGTTCTTTCACACGGCACTCACAAGTAACTTCTTTTATACTCTGTGAAATATTTGTTTATCCCATTATCATCATCTTAAGAATTTTCCTCAACCTCAAACATTGCTCATGTTAACTCTGTCTGTGAGGGTTTATCGTTCAGCCTCATCCCTTTCATCCTTTTTAATGCAACGATCTGTCCTCAACCTATAATTTCAGACTTCATCACCAGTGTTGAGTCTTCGTTTACATGCCAGCAGCAGCAGACTGCATGTCAGTCAAGGAGACGTCAGCGACAGCCAATGAAATGAAACATTTTGTTCCAAAAGAATGAAATGCTTCCTGCCCTCTAACCACAGCAGAATCATAATGCATTTTTCTTAAACAACAGGAGGTGGCGCCATTGTGTCATCATCCTCAGCATAAGCACTTCACATTGCATCATGGGGGTTGTAAAACTGCCGTCAGGATTACAGTCACTGTCGCGTCATTAATATTTCAGCAGGTTCTAAATAATTTTAATAGCCAGTAAACATTTTATTGGGCTGCAAAAGTAGAATTTAATCTCCCTCCAGGACATTTTATTGCAACGATTTCACTTTGATGTACTTAACGGTTTAGAAAATGTGTGCGAAGATGGCGTCTGCTCAAATTATTTTCTAAAGACAGTACTTGAACCCATACTGCTCTGAACCTGTCATTGAAAGATTTATTTTGCTTATCTAATTCAAAAAGCTCAATTCAAAGCACATTCTTTCGATACCTTCCAGCTAATGAAAAAAACTAAAACTCAGTTTCTCTAAAAATCAAGTTACATAAGACCAAGAAAAATGTTTCTATCGCATAATTGTTGGCCTATTGGAAGGTATGTTTATGTGCTGCACAGTTTTTGAAATCGGTACCTGGTCAGGGCTCCTTTTGGATTCCTTCACTGTGTGAAATGAAGCAATATTTTTGACAATGTTTCCAGTTTGTTTAGATGCATATTGCATCGAACCTATTTTGATAGGTTGTCGGACCTGATAGGACCTGAAGAATGTCTCTGACGCCTGCGTGATTTTCCTGGTGGGAAAATCACTGCGTGCACAGATATATCTGTGCACAGATGATATCTGCGTACACAGGGTTCAAGCTGGTTTGGTCTTCACGTTCTCAGGATGCCTAAGAAGTGATAAATTCATGGCCTGGGTTACATTTCATTTCCCCTGTCAGGTATCATTTCAGTTAAAACAGAACCTTTCTAGATCTCGAAAGATAATGCTCAACAAGATTGTGCAGGGCTAATATTTTACCTTTTTTGTTTTTTTGGAGGCATTCATGGAGCTCCAGGATACCAGCAGGGCTATTTCAGCTCTGTGGTGCAGCCAAAGAAAGCTGTGAAGAATGGACGCTCTGTTTGACCTGCATTACTGTGGTGTCCTCTGTTTACTGTATATGTTGTGCTTAATGTAGCAGGCTGACGCATACAGACTGCTTGTCTGCATGCGTGTATACAAGTCTTTTTATGCTGCTAGGTTTGGCCCCATCTTAGCTGTGCTCTGTGAATTTACTTGTTGTTTGTGTGAGCTTATTAGGAGTGGACCCAAGTCTTGGCAGCAAAAAGCTAATATACATTAAACAGTATAATCTACACATGTTGCTGGTTTCATAAGGTGGATCTCTTCTTTTTTATTTTTTTTTGGCAGTCACACAGCAGGGGAGCGTCGGCATCGCTGCCGTTTTACGCAAGGGAACTTGGCACTTGCTGCGGTTTGAGCTCTCCAAAGCTGACCTCTCATCATGCATGCGCTCTGGCTGCCAGAGCCTCACTATAGGCTGCGTTTGTGCACTGCGGTCCAGCTTTTGGCTCTCAATGTATTCCTGGAAAGCCTGAGGTGGAGCAGAGGGAGCAGGGCTGTTTCTCAGCCACACCGCAGCCAACGATGACCACGTTCTGGAAACTTCTCTGGCGTTCATAGCAAATCAAAGATGGGAGCTCAGTCAGTGCGCACTTTATTTCATTCTCTGCATTAATGCATCTTATTCTTCTAGTCTGGATAAATAGACAAATGAATTGTTGAGAGTTTAAGTTTAAATCTGAAAGGTGATTTGTATCTCACCTTTCTTGAATTTGTTGTCTCTTTCAGCTTTGTGGATCTAGAATCTGATTTTGCACAGCAGTTCAAGCTCAGTCTAGTAAGACAAAGAAAGTCTTAAAATCTTGTCAGGAACTTTGACAAATTGTCCTGTCCTTGCTGAAAAAAAAAAAAAGCATTCTGTCAGCATGATGTCACCACCGCCATGTTTTAACGGTGGAAACGGGGGCAGGGGGAGGGATTATGGTTAAGGTGCAGTTATTTGTAACTACACAGTGAATTGCAACTAATTTCAGTGTCTTTTGACCAGACAACCATATTTGTCAGTCTCGGTGAGAAATCCATTCTGTCGATTAATCAAAGTTTTGGTTTTTGAAATTCTGGATTAAATTTTTTTTCACCCAACAAGTAAAAGTCTCACTCTGTTGACTGACAAGCATGTTTCACAGCTTCTATTTAGATGGACTTTGCATTCGTGTCACTGATAGGAGAAAATTGAAAGGTCAGGTAACTATATACACTATATATATTATATGTAAAGTCATAATATAAGTGCATGCCATAATTTTCAGTTTATTTGGTCATCAAATAAATCAAGAAATGTAAAAGAAAAAAAATTAAACTTAATAAAATTAAGTTGAAAACAAATCAGATAAAACTTATCAGTTTCCTTCCATTTTGCGGCTGTGCATTGCATGTGGCATAGAATCTGAATGAATCACATTGAAGTTTGTGCTTGTAAGAACAAAACGTGAAACAAAAGCTCAAGAGCGATGAATACTTGATGTAAAGACCTCAGATTGCTGTTTAATGGGGGAATGTGAATGAAGACCTGGGAAAGAAATAGAATAATGATTGAAAAGAAAAATCCCCTAATTAAATCATGAGCAATTAAGGTGTAGACAAAGAAGCAAAATATTAGGAATGAACATAAGGAGCAGAATCGAACTGGACTAATAACGAAGCTAATTGAATCTTCTAGTGTCTGCTCCGTTTTCTTTTCCCATTTACAGCTGTCGATTTAAAGCAGTTTCAAGTTTAGACCTTTAAAATCGATTGTGTCCATAAGCAAAAACACACTAAATAGTTAAAAATGGAACAAACTATATGCAAAAATTGGGCTTGTGAGTTTAGCTTATTTCTTACGTCAAGGTTGCTCTTATGTATATTATTTGCTTCAAAGAGTAGCTTAACCCTGGTTTCTGTTCTCATTGCTTCATCCATCATCATCATCGTTTTCCTCCTCCTGGCTGTTGTGTAACTCTGCAGCAGCTGACCAGCAGCAGCAGCCCAACTCATCAGCACTTTTGGTGCCAGCTTGCTGTTACTGTGATGCACAAACTTAAAACTCTCAAAACAACCCAGAGTATGATGTGGTTCTTCATCAGAGAAACACAAAAGCAGCATTCATGTAAATGTTATCTTAAAAAGGAGTCCATCACCGGGAAGTTTCTCCTTCTCAGCCAGTAACGTTCCACGTGAACTCTTGCCTTTGTGGTGTGGCTCTCTGCGACCCTCGTCTTTCTCATGCTTTCAGATTATTTTGAATAAGTTGCAGCACGAGTTCAAACCGGTTTTACTGTTCAGTGAGACGTAGTTGGTGTACACACATCGGATCCAGCCGGAGAAGCAAACGCTCTCTCAACAGATTCCGCATAAAACACTTCAGCATGTCGCTGTAGGGGTGCAGCTGTGCACAAAAAAAAAAACAAAAACAAACAAAAAAAACATTTTGCTGCTCTAAAGTGATTTGTATGTCATCTCTCTTTAGTTTTCACCCAGAAAGAAAAGAGATGCAAATGGTGCAGAATTTGCAAAGCACCAATTAATCGAATGGTTTCAAATCATTCATTTTCCCCTTGTTTGACTCCGACTGGTGACTGACAGATAACACTGAAAAATATATTCGTTAAATAAAAAATAAAAAATGTCCCATCATTTTCAGACAATGGGAGCACCAAGCAGCAGTATTTACTTTGATGCATTTTTCTGAGTTGAATAACTATCAGACAAAAGTTAGGAACAAATGTTTAAATGCACAAAAGGGAATTATTTAGGATTTTATTCAATAATTTCTGTTTGACAGAGAGAGCAGTTCTAAATCTGGCTCCATGCTGCAGATCCTTCATATTAGAATTGGCAGATCAAACCTAAAACACTCTGCAGTGACGTGGGAAAGTGCAAAATTTGCACTTTTTCTCCCCCATTAATCATTTTCTCTACTGAAGTGCCTGCAGCAATTTTATATTTTAGTCCTTTAGGGAAGATGGATTCTGTCAAAATTGGCATGGAAAAGGCTGATCTGTGCATGTCTGTTCATGATGAGTCTTTTGTTGCTTTTTTTTTTTTTTGGCAACTTCTTAATTACAGCCTTATATTCTGTCTGCTTTAGTTGTTTTGCAGAGGGCCTGTTATTGTTTATGCAGATTTTAACATGACAATAATCCCGGCTGATGCTTCCTAGAATGTCCTGTTACATTAACACGTTCATTTTCTAGAAAGCACTCAGTCTACCTGCAGTTAGATTATAACCGCTTTCATTTTAATCACAATTTTTGACCAGATCGCCTGTGAAGTGTGTTTGCATTTCAAAGCTGCAGTGCTGGACGGGATTTAAAGGGCAGCAGTGAATCCCTCAGCCCCTATTCTGAGCCTCAGATCTGTCTCACCGTGGATAAGAAGCGTGTTGGGCCGGTGGCGCCTGCTTTGTGCTCAGCCTGGGGGAGGACACTGGGCGTGTGAATAGCTCCTCAGGTGGGGGAAACATGAGCTTTCCTCAGGAGCCTGGAGGGAGCAGAGGAAGCAGAGGAGAGGCGCATCGATGGTGGGTTTTCATGAAGCAGCTGCTGACTCGCGACTTCACATTTTTCCATGTTTTCAGACGTTACTTCATGTCTGCTGGATGCCAGACAGAAGACGGGCTGGAGTTAAAGTTTCTTTTCTTTTTCTTTTTTTTTTAAATACTTCGGGGGGTTGAAAACGCCGCGTCTTGCGTCGCTTTACGTGCAACAATGCAACGCTCAGTGACCCAGCCCCGCGGAAACTGAACCGAGGGGAAACCGAAGAAAACAGGAGGAGGAGAGAGCGGATGTCTGAGCAGCGAGGGAAAGAAAGAGAGAGAGAGAGAGAGAGGTCTGCAAAGAGCCACGGCGAGTGTTGTTCCGCGTTCGTCCACGGAAGGGTTTACCGCAAGCGTGGGTTCGTTTCTTTCCGAGCTGCGAGCAGCCGAAAGCCGGACACGCCGTCAATTCTGGATTTCTTTATCCGCTTCCTGTCGTCCAGGATGAGGTTTAAGAGGAACGGCTCGTACACGCTGAATAGGTGAGTGTGATGCAACGTGGAGCAGCGGGGACTTGTTGGTGTGGAGGGGACAGGAGGGGACAGGAGAGGACAGGAGGGGTTTGTCATGTCCGAAGCTCGTCAATCAGTTTCTGCGGCGCGGGTCTCACTCAGCGGCGTGTCTCCCCCTTTTTCTTCCTGTTAATAACAATTGGATGAAATGCGGTTTTCATTCATTGTTACTTTTCATAGTGCAACTCTTGGAAGTAGACACTTTTATTTCTTACAATGATACTTATGTCTCTTGACTTGTCCTGATATTCTCTTTTTAAAAAAAAAAAAAAAAACAAAACTTTACTATAAGTGAGTTTTACAACCTTCCCATGATCCTCTTCGGGTCTGTTGTGATTCCAGCCACGGTCCGGATCGGGAGGAACCTGTCTGTCCCGCTTTGATGGGCTTGGCTCACTCTTTTGTTTCCCCTCTTCCATTTAGGAAAAGGAGCCCAATGATTTCTTGCTCTTCTGCTTTTCCCCACTTCCCTGTTTGCACCTCTTGGCCAAAGAGTGCTGGTGGAGAGGTTTTCTAAATGAAGTTACCCATTTGTGTAACAGTGAATGAAGTCAGCCAATTTTGCCTTGATCTGCTGGGGACTGATGATGAGAAACAAAAGTGTTGCATTAAAAAAAAATAGATAAATAAACCATTAAAATTAAAAGAAAAGTCCACTTTCTCTGACAAAGAGTTTGTCTAATTTTTCATATGAAAGGCTAGAAAATTGTAATGCTTTAACTGAAATAATCTTAGACTGGTGTTTCATTTATTCATTTATTTGTTGGTTTCAAAGTAATCCTCTGTCAAAGAACCAGTAGAAGACAAACAGAAAATGGAAAAAATTATAAGATTCCTACGTTCATGTTGATTTTTATTTTTATTTATTTTTTATCCACCTACCTTCAATTTTTATTAAGATTGCTTTAACTTGATTCTTATTACGTTGAATCAAAGTGCATGCTGATGTTGCTTTTCAGCAAAGATGGTGAAATGCTCACTTTATGTTTTGATATGTTTAATGAAAAGGAAAATAAATTCAGATATTTCTGTATCTGATCAGACTGATCAGGAGAAAATCGACGCATTCTGATCGGATCACCTTGTTTTTGTCGTTGTTGTTGGGAAGCCAAGTTGCATCCAAGTTTGACTTTAGGATTTTAAATTGAGCTGTATAAATAAGGTGTAAATGTTCTATTAAAAAAAAAATATTCTGTTCAGCATGCGTTCAGTTTAAATAAGGACATAAAAGCATTGCCATGGTGGTTCAGTGTGCTCCTTTGTACTTGCAAACATTCCTCTGGTCATCGTTGCTGTAGCTAAGCATCTGCATCCTTTCTTCTGCTGATTTAAAACGCTTTATTCTGCGAATGCTTGTAGATTTATCCATCAGCTCCAGATTAAGTTGGCTCACCTACGCATGAAGTTGTACATTATTTTTCTTTTTTTTTTGTTTTAATTAAGGATTGTTTTTTTGAAGTTGTTGTCCTGTCCCTCAGATCTGCACTGAGCTCCAGCAACTTTGCCACTGTGTAATCGCTATTCAGGGCAAGAGGCCGCGTTGTTGCCGTTGTTGTTGGCACAGAAATGCTGGGAGATGCAGTGGGTCATGATTTAGAACAGGTGTGAGCCTCTGCGTTTTGTTAAACTTGAGATTTAAACTGCAGCACATCTGTGGTTCCAGATGTACAGCAGAGCAAATGAAACCTCCTGCATTCTCTTCCAGTTAACATCCTAGCCCAGTTCTTGCTGAAATAATGGCAACAATTTCCATTCATTATTCTGCTTTTTAATTCCTGTCACAAATAAGGTCTCTCCCCAGATGAACTCTTATTATTTTTGCTCCTTTCCCTTCTTGCTCTCAATTCAAGTCATGCATTTAGAGGAAAGATCCCTTCAGTTACGTGAGCATTCGCTCCAAATGTCTTGCTTTTTAGTGTTTGTCTGGATTCTGTGATAAGACTCGAGTCTTGAGGAAGTCGAGACAAAAACCGCGCCGACCGAGATCCGAAAGATCACCAGTCACATTGTTGAAAGTGACATTTGATTTATCGGTGGTTTCATTCCGTACACTTTCCCCACGGCCCTCCATTTCCCCGCTCCCTTGTTTCTGGGCACGTTGCTTTCCGCTGCACTTGTCCCTCTCAACGGCCACATCCTGATTCTCAGGTGCAAAAACACAAAGGGGAGCTGATGTGTGCCAAGCTCCATCGCTCACTCCTCCACTCAGCGGAAAGTGCCGGAGCGGCGGTGTCGCTCGATCCGCCTTTCTCCACCTTCCGCTTTCATTTAGCAAATTGTGTGCCATTATGTTGTGCTTCCCTGCAGCGCCGTGTGATGCAGGCGAACCCTTACATCTGCATGCGTGCTGCCGAGGGCAGCTTGTTTTCTGAAGCTCCTGGAGACGGGTCTCCTGAGAATAGCAGGAAGCCGAGGTGGAGGTGGCGTAGGGGAAGACACGACGTCATCAGATGCTGCAGCTCTTTGTCATCCTAAGCAAACAAAAGCCGAGAAAGTTGCAGAGAGAGCCTGTTGCAGAGCCACCGAATGATCTACTGCAGCAGCATTAGTCTCAGTAAAAGAAGAAAGAGGACCATGAATCTTATTCAATTTAGAAAGAGAAATCAGGATGTAGAGATTTGTTACACACAACTGTTTCCAACTGGTAATTTCTGTACATTTTGATTTTGATTACAGCTGATTAAAAAAAAAAAATCAAAATTCAGTTTCTTGTTCAATCTAATAAAGATTAAAATATTTATGACCTCCTGATTTGATAGCTGTCCAGCACACAGTCATTAACCTCCTTCAAAAGCAGGAAGAGTCATTTTAAGAGGCTAGCAGTTCAGAGTCCTGTTTCCAAGCTTATTAAAGGAAAGTTGAGTGGAAGATGACAATGTGGTTCACAAGCAGCAGGTTTTGAGCAGATTGGGAGCATAATCTCTCCACTTGGTCTTTTATGTCAGCTTCACCGTTTATACATATACAATACATTTTACTCTTTGTATTGGAGCTTTGAGGTAAATTAAGTTTTCCAGGACATTCCAGTTTACAGAGCGGCTCCTCCATCTACCCACTGAACCCAGAGATCTGGGTTTCTCTGACTCTGCGACAAACCGGGAGCCGAGAGCCAGTCCCCTTGCAGTGGTTATGTAACAGCTGCCCTTTGAAGGTGACTGCTGCCTGTTTCTGGCTTCTCCTTGTCAGGTTGTGACGAGTCGTCACTGTCGGTAGAGAGGGGGAGCCGGTCCCTTTGACTCCGAGCATCGGAGCGCGTATCGTCTCGGCCGTTAATCCCTCATTTGTGTCCGTACAGATCGGCTGGGTCTGCAGTCTTAGATTACATCAGCTTACGGCGCTTTGTATACACTGCAGTCCTTCTTTTTTTTTTAAAGGGTTTGAAGCGAATAAAGAAGACTGGAGCGAGTGATTGCTTCTCCTTAATGATGCAGGGAGGGTGGAGGGCGATGTCGCAAGGCCCATCGTTCATTGTGTCCTTCACCTTATTTGCCCAAGCCAGAAGTAGAGAACTCTGCAGCGATTGGCTTATTTTTTGGGGGGTGGAGAGGCTTGTCTCCTAGCTGGCCCCTCCCATATTGCACCTCTGCATGGATTGTGTGAATGAAGAGTCATGGTTATTGTATACGTGCACCAAGAAGGTTATGTCCTGTGCTTTCCTGCAGCTGCACTCCCTTGTCCATGTTGGTTGACATTTAGCTGCATGCTAAATGTCAACCAACGTTTGAAGCTGTAACATATTACTGAGTGTAGACAGATCAAGACGTTGCGCTGATTAACCGTCCCTAGAGGTTCGGGCCGGATTTGACTCAGACTTCTACTTAGTGGACTGTGTTTTGTCTAAGTGGTGGTGGGGACGTCCAGCCCTGGTCCCGGATGTACACAGATGCTGGAGATAGCAGCCTTGTCTTTCTGTCTCCTCTGCAGTGTGCCCGCTGCTGCCCAAGAGTCAGCGGTTTGTTTATGGGACTCTGTTTGCCAAGCTAATCTTCCCGCCTTTCAAGTGAGAGCCAGTGAGTGAAGAAGAGAGCGAGTCAGCGAGAGAGAGGGAGAGAGAGAGAGACGGGGAGCAGGAGTGTGAAAGTGAGCCAGGCGGTTGCAGTAGTTGGTTGAGAGGGAGAAAGAGCAAAGCGCTGAAACGCGCGTCTGCTTTTGTGAATGATTTATTTTTGTGCGTGTGTGTTGGCCGTCCTCTCTCCGCGTGACGTGCGTTGACGCCGACAGCCTGATGGACCCGCGCCGCGTCTTGCTGGAGCTGGTGCACCTGTAGCCCAGTCTGCAGACCCAGGCGCATCGACCGGGAGCCGAAACGGTGCAGATCGTTGGAACGCCACATCCTCTCCTCGCCTCTGCTTCGCCGCTGGCTGGATGGGGGTGCTGGTGTGCTGCGACTGCTTCTTCTATAGGTACTTTTCCCGTCGTTTTTCTGCAATAGAGTTTGCGGCGGTCGTAAACTTCAACTGTCATGTTTTCCTGTACGTCTCTCTTCCACCCTCCCTTCCTTTTCACCGACTCGTTCACGTTCTCGGTTACTGTGCTGCGGTTTGGAGGAGACGTTTGAGGACAGTGCTGCTGTAGCAGAGATTCTGCCGTAGTCAGAATCTCTGCTGAGTTGTCTGAAAGAGGAGGAGGAGGAAGGAGGGGGGTTGCTGCGGACACAGGGACAGCCGTGGCTCTCGGCCAGAGAGATGATGAACTTTTGCTGGTTGCAGGTTTGTTTGGAGGTGCGGGTTGAGACTAATCGGAAGGAATTGGAACGTGTCCAGAAGACGGCCAGTTGGTCAAGCTCTGCTAACTTTTCCTCCCATCCCGCTCCGTGCCCCTTTGGCATCGCTGCACTGTTTGTTTGGGACACAGTGTTCCCTTATAAGGGGATGGGAATGTGTTTTGCCTTTTCCTCCTGGTTTTCTTGTTTGCATCAATCACAAAACTTTGCCCATAATTGAATACGTTTGCATTTTGTCAACTTATTC